AAAAGTTTGGGGTAGGTACGTTTTTTTTAAGGAAATAATATTTCTATTTATAAAGGATGCAGAGGCAAAAGTGACAGCAGAGGCATTTAATGTTACAAGAGATTTCTATTACAAATAAATACAGTTGTTTTTCAAAAATTCTATTCATCAAAGAATCCTGAAAAATAAAATATATAGTGTTTTCCACAAACAAATACTCAGCAGCACGACTGTTTTCAGCATTAATAATAATCAGAAATGTTTCTTCAGCAGCAAATCAGCATATTAAGGATCATGTGACATGGAAGATGCTGAAAATTCAGCTTTGATCACAAGAATAAATTACATTTTACAACATATTCAAATAAAAAACTTATTTTAAACTGTAATAATATTTCACAATATTACTGTTTTTACTATATTTTTGATCAAATAAATGCAGCCTGGGAAAGCAGGAAAAAAAATCATACTGACCCAAACTTTTATTTATCTACTTCAAAAGTAGCTTCCACAACACTATATACATGCTTTAGGACTGTATACCTTGGTTCCATGAGAGCGATTCTCCGCATAGCTCTGATAACCCGAATCTGCTCGTCATCATCATCATCTTCCTCCTCCTCCTCCTCAAAAAGAAGCAGGCAGACATTTAATCATCCTAATTAGGCTACATTATCTATTATTTATGTAGGAGTATGACAAAGCATTTTATATGTGCTGTAACTGATGTGTTGATGTAAATGAAGCTCTACCGGCGTGTGTTGGGCCGTACTCCTCTCCTGCCGGTGCGTTTGCAGCGGTGAGTTTTCTCTCTGCAGGGCCTGAAATACGCCGGCAGCCGTTTCCTCTGAATCTCGCTCCTCCTGCACCTTACGAGCCGCAGACAGGGGGCGCTCTATACGACTGCACGGCCCTACAAGATGACAAATCATATGTTAGTCTCTTGAGAACTGGTGCTGTACGTGTTGCTGTCTTGCGGCCTACTAAGGCAGCATCCTAACTTAAATGGGAGCGTGCTGCAATGCGGACCAGACTTTATGTACATATTTCTCTATAAACTGTTAATGATTGCATAACTGTTAATGAAGCATAAACTGATGAGTAAAGGTCATTGCACACTAGGGCTGTCAAAAAAAAATTTGAATTTCGAATATTCATCGAATTTAAAATAAAAATCCACATTCGAATGCAAAAATGTTGCATTCAAATTTTAGGTGTGCATTAAGGAGGCAGCCTTATCAGTGGCGCACGAGATGCGATGACGATGTAAGTGTGGTTGCATTATAATGTTTTTGTTAGCAAAGCGAAACTACTTTGTTTGGTCTTCCAAAAGAGGACACGACTACAAATCAGTGGTTAAGTTGTATTTACAACACTGTTCCAGAACAGTTTAACCCAAATATCCAGATGTGTGCAACACATTTTATGGAGGATCTTCCTGATCCTGGAAGAGTAGACTACAATGCAACTACGATGCAACGCAACACGTAAAAAGACAGTATAAGTCATTATAATCTGTAATTATGTCCCCGCTGGATGCAACAAATGCCTCGTTTATAATGGGTTTTAATGTTTTTGTCTCGTTGCTCTGGCCGGG